GTGTGGCGGTACAGGGGCGTTGTACACATGGGACCATTATCTGAAGAAAAAAAAGTTCATGTAAGGAAAATCAGTTGAACATTTATATACACAACCAACTTCATATGTCATTTACCTACCTAAACTTGCACGAAAATATCTCTATGAACCATGGCATAAAAAAATTAACCAGAAAAAGAAACATTACAACATAAAAAAAAACTCACCATTAACATCCTGAATCTCGATGAAGACCCAGGCCTTAGCCACGAACACCCCGTCAGTAGCGGTCACTTCCAAGGCATACTGGTCCACCACTTCCCGGTCCAGCTTCTTGGCCACGTAGATCTGACCACCGCTTCGGACGTGGAAGTGCTGGAGGGCGTTGCCGGCGGTGAGGTAGTAGATGATACCCTGGTCTACCTCTCCGTCCAGCGCCCCTCCCCCCAGGTCGTAGTCCTGCACTTCGAGCTGTACGACGACCGTGCCTGGGAGTGCATCCTCGCGCACTGGGGGAAAAAAAGGAGAGACGATGGCTGTTAAAAAGGCTGTGTGGATCTTATATGGCAGAGAGAGGGGGAGAGAAATTGCCAATACAGATAAACAACTACTGAGACGAAAAGAAAAGAAATACTGAAACAGTTCCTTTGTACATTTAACCTCCAAAAAAATGAAAGTAGCTGACGATCTCCCAAATGAATTTTCACTTTATCTCACCTGCTGACCGATATTCATCTTTCACAAACTGGGGAGGATTGTCGTTATAATCTATGACGTCAATCATTATGGTCGCCGTTGAACTGCGCTGAGGGCTCCCGTTGTCCTTGGCTATCACCTGAAATCAAGAAATAAAATGAGCTCTAACAACTATTGTACCCAATTGTTATTCATCCCCATAGAAGGCAAAAGAAAAAGAAAACAAATATAAGTATACATATACATCGATAGAAAGATAAATAGAGAAATATAGAAACAAACCAAACAAAAGAATAAGAGAAAACACACACACCAAAAAATGAAAATCACCACAAATTACCAAAATATATACAAAACAATACGAAAAAAAAACATAAAAAAACGTAAATAAGAATCATACAAATTCCACAAGTATTACAAAAAAAGAAAGAAAAAAAAATCCACCGACCTTGAGCTCATACTTGGACTTGGTCTCGGCATCGAGCTCTTGGTTGAGGGACAGCCAGCCGGAGTAGGGGTCGAGGGTGAAGAGAGGTTCCTCCAGAAGGGGCGACTGCTCCTCCAAGGTATAGCGGACCTCAGCGTTGCTCCCCGTGTCCTTATCTTTAGCGAATACTGCAACATTGCAAAAGAATGCATTCAGTACCCAAGTTAACATAGGTTCCATAGTTCACGTAGTCACCATTATATACATCTATATGACACAAACAGTAAACTAACCCATCTACATATACAATAAACAATACAATCTCTTCTTTTCCCTTGCTATACTTAAGAGATAATCACACATAGCAATTAGCAAATAAATAAACATTAACAGCCGCACATACCTTTAACAACATTAGAACCTGAGGGAGTATTTTCAGCGACGGACACGTAATAGGTCTCGCTCTCAAACGCCGGGGCCTCGTCGTTCACATCTTGAACCTATAAAAGAAAGGAGTCCAAGCATTTAAAGATTTGTGAGAGTATTTTATTTTTGTTCTTCTGGTATATGGAATCGACAGCTTAATTCGTCGATAATAAGATAGTTATAAATTATTTTCACGTCACAAGAACAATAATTCAATTTCTTCTCGTAGCTTGGGCAGTTTATTTCACACAACAAAAAATAGTAACCCAATTTCTCCCAGTACCTTGAAACAACAAACAAACAAACAAATAAATAATGAAATGTCGAGGTTACAACACCACCAATATTGAAATTGAGTCCTTACGCTGCCTGCCACACGAACTCTCACCTCGATCTCCACTGTCGTGCTGGCGGCGAGTTCGGGCTCAGCGATGGGCACGGCCGTTACGATGAGGGACAGGCGCTGTGTTTCTTCGTGGTCGAGGAGTGCCGTGAGGGTAAGAGTGCCACTGGGAGACACTGAAACCGGGGGTGAAACCTCGTGGCCCCCCCAGTCAACCACGTACTGAAGTTCGCCATCGTAACGGGCGGCAACGTCGCCAATGCGCGTTCCTGAAATTGTCAAGAAAAACAAACCTTTCTCAGTATTAAAACAACAAAACAAAAAAACAATCACACCTTTCTTTACATAAAATAAACCAAAAAGTTTTATTTAATTTAATAACATTTTTTTTTTGGTTATTAATATAAAAAACAAACGAAATGAGGGAGAGAAAAAATAAAACGTAACCACAAGATACAAGAAATTGCTAGTAAATATAGAAAGCAAACACTAAAACAAATAAACAAACCTGGCTGATTATCAAACAATAAAACAACTAAACAAACCTGGCTGAGTATCCTCCGACACGGGGAGCGAGTATTTCCTGGACAGAAACTCCGGAGGTTTGACGTCAACCCCGACAATACGAAGCAACACGGCGACGTTGGAATGCAGGGACTTTTTGCCCTTGTCTCTGCCTTCGACAAAGAACTCGAACTCTGAGCTCCCTGTGTTGGTAAAAAAAGAGAGAGAAAATCTTATCTACATGAGGATATTGCCAAATTTAAACATTGTCATTTGCTAAAGTAAAAAAAGGGAAAGTTAAATCAATTTATGGATAAAAAGAAATACTGATGTTTTCGTAACTCAAGCGAAATTATGATAATTTTATGAAATTTACAGTAAATAATGTTCAATTGTGAAAACTTGATGTCGCCTAGTAAAGTCGGGAAAGAATTACCCTTTTGATTTTGAACATGAAACTGTCACCCAATATTTATTCTTTATTCAATTCTACAGCACCACAAAGAATAATAACAACATGGGATGACATGCACCCTCCCCCCCCCAAAAAAAAAAAAAAAAAAAAGAAAAATGAAAAAAAAACAAAAAAACTTTACGAATTACATCACAAAACTATAACCTTCACGCACCCAGTTCATTTGCGTTTTTCTTCAGAATAATATTCCCGGTCGTGGGTTCGATAGTGAAGGCGTCCATGGTATCTGGCAGAGTCGACATGTGGTACTGATAGGTGACGTTCCCGTTTTCTCCTTCGTCGGGATCCTCGGCCGAAACCTGCAAAGAAAATGGGATTCCAGTCCTCAACCATTCTGTGATTTGGGATTCGTCTTTGTCTAAATTGGAAGAACTTACTTGAGCCAAATACTCATCCTCGGTTGGTATGTAACAATATAATCATTATACATACACTATATATGTATAATGTATGCGGGTCTATATGCAGACGGTGTCATCTAAACTCATTCGAAACATCTGCCTATATAAATGAGAAAGAAACATGACTAGCACAAATGGCTCACTGAAAGAGTAATAAATGCCGATATCTTCACTTACCGTCAACACAACAGTGTTAGCAGTTGTGTTGGACCTGATAATGGCCTTGTAATCAGACTGCTTAAATACGGGTTTATTGTCATTTTCGTCGTCGACTGTGATGTGCAGCGTCGTGAACCCTGTGCGGCCTCCGATGTCCATGGCCATAACGGTGAATGAATATTCCTTCCTCTCCTCTCGGTCAAACACCTTCGATGTCCACACCTCTCCTGTAGATTATATAATTTTGTTAGAAAAAAACAGAGAAGAATATATTATCAATTTATACATTCATACATTTCTTAACGTTAGTCCAAATCTGCATCGAATCTAAGGCATGTGGCTTAACAAGGTATATCTTCTCTGGCTTTACCTGTATTCTCATTGATTCTGAAGAAGCTGTGAGCCTTGTCTCCTATGAAATGATACGTCACGTCTCCATAGCGACCCGAATCGTCGTCTCGGGCTGACACTTGAGCGACTGTGGTCTTGATGACGTTCTCCTGTATCCGGGCGTTGTACTGGGCCACTCTGAAGGTGGGCGAGCGGGCGTTGACGGGGGAAATGGTCACCACGAGCCTCGAGTAGGCGGTGAAGACGCCGTCGGTCACGGATATGTTCAGGATGTGTTGGTTACTCTCCTGGAGTTTTTGGTTGTTCCATACGGTTACTATGCCTGAGGGGAGGAGGGGGGAAACGTGGTTTGGTTTTAGTGTAAAGCCTGTTTTCAACTCTTCTCTTTTCATAGTAATATAGTGGAACAATATGGAGAAAACAAGGGAAGATAATCACGACACACAATGCCTAATACAACATTAAAACAACATACATGCATATATATTAACTTTATTCCAATGATTGAAAGGAAAACACAAATTACCGGTAGTGGGCTCAATGACAAAGGCTTGCATGTCATTCCCATCGACAATGGAGTACGTCAGTTTGTCGACATCACTGACATCTTCATCCGAGGCAGAGACGAGGGTGACAAAGTGTCCTCTCGAGGCGTCCTCTGTTATCACACACCGCTGTGCCTGCTGCTCGAACACTGGGGGGTTGTCGTTCATGTCCACCACTGGAAAGACGACGAATTTCTCGTTACAATGCTCTCTAAATATTTTTTGGCTGCTCAGGAATGTATAGACCGAGGAAAGAAGATATGAATATGACGCTGCATCTATTCAAACCATTATTTTTTTCCTGCATTCTTTACGAACCTGTTACTAAAATATGTGCTGTGGACGAGAGTGGCGGTGTCCCCTTGTCAATGGCCTGGACCAGGAAGTGGTGAACAGGAGCTGTCTCCCTGTCCAGTCCCTGCTTCAGGATCAACACGCCCGAGTCTCCCTCCATGTAGAAGTTGTCAGGCAGAGTTCCATTGAGTCCCATTAGTCTGTAGGTGACGCCAGCGTTGGGTCCTGTGTCCAGGTCCGACGTGGTAATGGTGAGGATGGGGGTAGCGATTGCTGTTGCCTCGGACACCGTGACGTTGTAGAAGTGTTGTAAGAACTCTGGAGGGTTGTCATTCACGTCGATCACCTGCACTGACACCACGACTTCCGCCCACTTGCCCGAGTGGCTGTCTGTGGCCCGCACTGTCAGCTGGTAAGTGTTCTGGCTCTCGTAGTCAAGATCGTCTTGCACTCTGATCAGACCTGAAACACCAATAAAAATCATAACAATTTAAAAAAACAAAACATAATTCAGGACCTACTTATTAACATTTAATAACTCTACCTCTAAGGCTTCTACTTTACAAATCATATTCAAACCAAGCAGTATCCATTCCCAGACAACCGAGCACCAAACCAATCTACCTTCTTCATGTTCCATGGCAAAAGTCTGGTGTTCGTTTCCTCCCACAATGGTGTATATCAGCTTCCTATTGAGCTGACTGTGGGCCACGACGGTCACGATGGGCGTGTGAGTGTCTGCGTCCTCGGCCACTGTGGCACTGTAGAACTGCCGGTCAAAGATGGGCTGAGATCTGTCCACCACCTTCAGCCGCACCGGGACTTGGGAGGAGAGAGGTGGAGAGCCTGCGGGGGAAGGGAAAGGGAAAGGGTAACATCATCTAAAATAGAAAGGTCGTAAAAATAAGTGGAAGGAATGATATCGATGAACTGAACTTCCACGTATTATAATCACACACACACACACACCCGCGCGCACACACACACACACACACACACACACACACACACACACACACACACACACACACACACACACACACACACACACACCTACCCCCCTCCCACCCCCACACACACCGAGCAAACCCCCTAAGCAACAAGACAGGGAGGAGAACCCGTCGTCGCAACAGCCCCCCCGCTCTTACCTCCGTCGTACGCGCTGACGATGAGCTCGTACTCGCTCTTGAGGCCCTCGAGCGTCTGCCTGAGGATGATCTCCCCCGTGGACCGGCTGACGCTGAAGAGCTCGCCGTTGCCTCGCTGCAGCTCGTAGCGGACTTCGCGGTTTTCGTCGGCGTCGAAGTCGGTGGCGTGGACCTGGAGGAGGAGGTTGGAATGAGAGAATGTTGCAGTGAGAAATGTGCAATGAGGTATTGTTGCAGTGAGACATGTGAAATGAGAGAATGTTGCAGCGAGAAAGGTGCAATGAGATCTTGTTGGAATGAGAGAATGTTGCAGTGAGAAATGTGCAATGCAAATGTTACAGTGAGAAAAGTACAACGAGAATGTTACAATGAGAAAATATTGCAGTGAGATTATATTGCAGTAATAATGTGCAATGAGAGAATGTTGCACTGAAAGAATGTTGTAATGAGAAAGGGGCAATATCAAACAAACTTCTGTTTCGCGTTTTTATATAAGACTGACATTCTATTCAGCAAACCGCGTTGTTTTTTCTTATATTGAATGATATTCGGTAAATTATCGTACTTTTTTATAATACCTTCGACCGAACATGAAAAAACTCTCATAAACTGATATTAACGAGAACATAAAAAGAACTACTTAAACAATCATATAAAAACGTAAAAAAAAATATTCAACCTCAACCCAAAGCTCACCAACACCTAAACAAACTTAAAAAAAGTAAAAAAAAAAGAAAAAAGAAACAAGAAAAAAGAGAAAAAAAAGAGGAAAAAGAAAGAAGGAAAAAAGAAAGAAAAGAAAAAATAAATAAAAAGAAAAAAAAGAGAAAAAAGAAATGAGAAAAAAAGAAATAAAAGAAAACGAAAAGAGAAAAAAATAAAAAAAGAAAGAAAAGAAAAAGAAAAAAAAAAGAAAGAAAGAAAGAAAAAAAGAAAAGAGAAAAGAAAGAAAAAAAAACAAAAAGAAAAAAAAAAGAAAAAAGAAAAAAAAAGAAAAACAAAACAAAAAAAAACACGAAAACGAACCCCTCCCTCCCACCCACCCCAAAAAAAAAACAAAAACTTACCCTGAACACCACTTGGTTCTTCTTGGCGTCGACGGAGATGACGCCGTAGTAGGGCTTGTTGACGAAGATCGGGGCGTTGTCGTTCCGGTCCGTCACCACCACGTGGACCTGCACGTGGGCCACTCGGGCCGGGACGCTCGGGAGGATGCTGCGGACCTGCGGGGGGAGAAGGGGAGGGGGTGAGAAGAGGGGGAGGGGTGAGTGGAGTTAGGGGTGAGGGGTGAGAAAGGGAGGGGTGAGAAGGTAGAGGTGAGAAGGAAGGAGGGGGAGGGGAGGATGTGAGAAGGGGAGGGGGTGAGAAGAGGGGGATAAGAAGGGAAGGGGTGAGAGGAGGGAGTGAGAAGGGAGGGGGAGGGAGGGGGAGGGAGGGGGAGGGTGGGGAAGGGGGTGAGAAGGGGTGTGGGGAAGGGAGGGAATGAGAAGGGGAGGAAGAGAAAGGGGGGGAGTGAGAAGGGGGGAGGGGGGAGGAGGGGGTGAGAAGAAGGGGAAAATGGAGTAAAGAGGGGATAAAAAGGGGGGAAAGAGGGGAAGTTGTATTGTACACTTGTTTCTGGTTGGGGTGATGTAATGGTGATTTTCAAGAGATTTTTTATGATTTTAGATATTAATTTATTCAGATAAAATAAAAAAAAACTGATGGAGAAAGATAGGTGATATCCTGCAAGTCTCTCTCTCTCTCTCTCTCTCTCTCTCTCTCTCTCTCTCTCTCTCTCTCTCTCTCTCTCTCTCTCTCTCTCTCTCTCTCCCACTCTCTCTCTCTCTCTCCCACTCTCTCTCTCTCTCTCCCACTCTCTCTCACTCACTTACTCACTCTCACTCACTCACTTACTCACTCTCACTCACTCACTTACTCACTCTCACTCACTCACTTACTCACTCACTCTCACTCACTCACTCACTCACTCACTCACTCTCTCTCACTCACTCATGCACTCTCTTTCTCTCTCTCTCTCTCTCTCTCTCACTCTCTCACTCACTCTCACTCACTCACTCTTACTCTCTCTCTCACTCTCACTCACTCACTCTTACTCTCTCTCTCACTCACTCTCACACACTCTCACACACACACATTCTCTCACTCCCTCACACTCACTTCCCATCCCTCCAGCTCCACCATCCTTACCTCAACTATGAGTAGATAGTTATCCTGAACCTCCCTGTCAAACGGCCTCCCTCGGGTCTGGATCACGCCTGAAGTCTCTCCTATCTCGAACATCTCGGTAGGATTCAGGATGCTGAACTTCAGATGTTCATTCAGCTCACTGCCCAGGACGTGCACCATCACCACCTGTAACAGAGGGAGTTTTTTTCAGAACGTGATAATGTTATTGTTTTTTTTTCACTTTTTTTTCATTTTTCGCTGCAACATCAATCTCTTTTACCATCATGCTACTTCCACTAAATACCGTGATGGTAATTAATTCCTTCTGTCTAATAACGACCACTACATATTTACCACTATCATTCTATCTAATGACTTACTCGTAATAACCAAATACTGTGATGGTAATTAATTCTTTCTGTCTAATGAGTTCCTCATATTAACGGCCACTACATATTTACCACCATCGTTTTATCTAACGACTTACTCGTAATATCGACCACCACATATACCATTATCCATCTTACCTCATCAATTCCTCATAATAACGACCACTACATATTTACCACCATCGTTTTATTCAATAACTTACTCGTAATATCGTCCACCACAGATACCATTATCCATCTTACCTCATCAATTCCTCATAATAACGACCACTACATATTTACCACCATCGTTTTATCTAATAACTTACTCGTAATATCGACCACCACAGATAACATTATCCATCTTACCTCATCAAATTCCCCATAATAACGACCCCTACACATACACCACCATCCATTTTCACAACAATGGCTTTCCTTCACCTTAACCTTCACTTCCGAACTTCCAAGACTTCAGGAGGGTGGCTTACCTTATCCACGCGGGTACTGTTCTCTTCCACGGCCGCGAAGTACTTGTCTTCGCTAAATCTCAGGCCTGTGTTGGGTATCGGTTCCACGTGGATGTTGGCCGTGGTGCTGGAGGCGAACTGGCCGTCATTCACAGTCACCTGGGGAGGGGAGAGGGGAGAGCGTGTGGTTTTGCGTTAGTTAAGAGTCAAACTCGTGTGGTTTTGCGTTAGTTAAGAGTCAAAATATGGTTTTGCGTTAGTTATGAGTCAAACTCGTGGAGTTTTGCGTCAGTTAAGAGTCAAGGTATGGTTTTGCGTTAGTTAAAGGAATCAAATTCGTGCGGTTATTGGCATATACTTGATAATATTCTTTATTCTTTCTTTCTTGACTTCCATGAAAATCATGCTTGTCAACTCAGTCATATGTCATAAACTTGTAAACCATATATATATAATGTTTTTATTTTTTTCTTCCTTGACTTTCATGAAAATGGTACTTGCAGACATATGAATATTCGAACACTCACTTTTAGTCGATAAAAACCGGCCAAGTTACTGGATTCGTTGACGGTAATGAGCCCCGTCTTCGAGTTGATCTTGAACTTGCCGTCTTTATTTCCGTCCGCTATTTCATACTCCAAATTAGCCTTGCCATCAAAATCGAGGTCCGTTGCATTGAGCTGCACAACAGCCACGCCACTGGAAAAAAAAATTATATAGAAATACTAAAACCATAATAATATATATGTTGGTTTTACATGGGATTGAATCATTCCGATAGTAACAACATAAAAAAAACGAATAATCTCAATCTTGATACATGACATCAATCCATTACAATTTTCTAAATCCACTTCCTGTAAACGCCTTCCAGACACACAATCTTTCAAAACTACTCACAAGAAAATGAAAAAAAAAAAATCAAACTTACACATTGGTGGGTACAAGTAAGGAAGCATTGTACTCCTGCAGCAGAAACCGAGGGGGAACATCGTTAATGTCAGTGATGGTGATGGTGACCGTGGCAGTGGTCGAGGCGCACAGTCTCGGGTGGCCGTTGTCGTGAACCTTAACACTGAAGGTCACCTTGGATACGACCTCGTGATCCAAAGGTCCCACAGTCCTTATAGCACCTGGGGAAAAGTGGGGTTTCGTGATTACTACCATAATTTAAAAAAATGGTAATAATGAAACTCTTATTTTTTTTAATATATCCTCATATCTTTTTTACTCTAACGTATTTATCAGGTAGATAACAGAAAGAATACATCTTTTTCTGCACGAATTTCTCAAGACAGAGCTCTCTCCCTCGTGACCCTACCAGTCGAGGAGTCGATGGCGAAGTACTTCCTCGCCTCCTCTTCCAAGATGGTAAACACCAGGTTGGCATTCTGGTCAGAGTCCTTGTCCTTGGCAGAGATGACCAGGGGGGTGTTGTCCTCCATCAGGACGACTGAGTTGACTGCGGCCGCTTCGGAAATGTGGCCCACGTAGCTGCTCTGCGTGAAGTATGGCGGGTTGTCGTTCTCGTCCAAGACATTGATCACCAGGTGAGCTGTTGACTCCTGTCCGTTCTGGTGGAGAGAGAGAAAAAAAAATATCTTTTAATATTAATCTCTGACTTCCTAAAAAATATAATATACTCTACGATCATCTATACATTTGAATTCTCACACAAAAAAAACTTAATTCATTAATTCTGAACAGTAAAAAACGACAGGCAAGAGACACCTCTTCCTACAAACACACATCCAAGCCCTTAGACCTTAACGCCTCCGAAGCCTTACCATCGACGACGCAAACACAGTGTAGTTGTAGGACTGGCTCTTCTCGTAGTCCACAGGGGCGTCGAGGGACACGGTTCCTGTAGAAGGGTTGATGGCGAAGGGAATCCGCCTGGAGTCCACGTTGAGGGAGAACACCACGCCAAGACGGCTCTCCACCTCCACGATACCCAGGTAGTCGCCGACGTGGGCCTTCTCGCTCACCTCGAACACGTACTCCCTCTTCAGGAACCTAGATGGGGGTGGATGCAGAGAGTGATGACAATAGGAGGAATTTTCCCTATGGAAATACAAGAGCTGTGACTATGGTAATTGCGGTTATGAATAATAAAATATCTAAACTTTCAGGAATACCACCGATTTTGTAGATATAAAAACAACGCAAGACAAGTTTATGTCCTTAACTATACTGTATACACACCATAATATTAAAATTCATCCGCTCCTATAACATTAAAATACCCCCACTTCTACAACACAACAATCCACCCACATCTACGACATTACAATCCACCCACTTCATTACAATACCCATTTGTATATTATTACAACTCACCGAGTATTAAAAAAAAGCTAACACGTACCTTGGCGGAGCCCCGTGAGCAATCTTCACGTGGATGTTCACATTGACGTGCGAGTGCTTGGGCGGCGATCCGTTGTCGCTTCCCCGCACCGCCAGCCAGTACTCGGGCATCTCCTGTCTGTCCACGTGGCGTACCAGGGTGATGATGCCTGTCGAGGGATGGAGGCTGAACACGCCCCCGATGTTACCTGGAGGGATAGGGATGTTGTTTTAAATCCGTGGTGAAGAAAGGAGGTAAATATTATGATTGATAAGGAAGTCCTTTTCTGAGACTTACATATTTTCAAAAGCTTTTTATTAAACGGTGAATGTTCTCTTAATATTAGACTGATAGGGAAGCTCTTTTTTCGCGACTTGCTTAATTTCAGATTTCAACTATAGGGTGAATATCCCGCATAAAGCTATCAGGTAATAAACCCTAACCTTAACACCACTAAATCATAAAACCTTTTAAAACACCCTCCGCTTCCGTAGAATCCCTCACACCTAATGATCCCCACCTGAAAAAAAACACCCCTTCCGACGTCGCCCCACACGACGCGCCACGACCCCCTCACCTGAGATGATGGAATACGTAATGTCCCCGTTGACGCCCTTGTCCCTGTCGACGGCCACCACCTCCGTGACGGCCGTGCCCACCGCCGCCGTCTCCGTCACCTCACCGGTACCGTGCCGCTCTTTCTCTCTTTCTCTCTTTCTCTCTTTCTCTCTTTCTCTCTTTCTCTCTTTCTCTCTTTCTCTCTTTCTCTCTTTCTCTCTTTCTCTCTTTCTCTCTTTCTCTCTTTCTCTCTTTCTCTCTTTCTCTCTTTCTCTCTTTCTCTCTTTCTCTCTTTCTCTCTTTCTCTCTTTCTCTCTTTCTCTCTTTCTCTCTTTCTCTCTTTCTCTCTTTCTCTCTTTCTCTCTTTCTCTCTTTCTCTCTTTCTCTCTTTCTCTCTTTCTCTCTTTCTCTCTTTCTCTCTTTCTCTCTTTCTCTCTTTCTCTCTTTCTCTCTTTCTCTCTTTCTCTCTTTCTCTCTTTCTCTCTTTCTCTCTTTCTCTCTTTCTCTCTTTCTCTCTTTCTCTCTTTCTCTCTTTCTCTCTTTCTCTCTTTCTCTCTTTCTCTCTTTCTCTCTTTCTCTCTTTCTCTCTTTCTCTCTTTCTCTCTTTCTCTCTTTCTCTCTTTCTCTCTTTCTCTCTTTCTCTCTTTCTCTCTTTCTCTCTTTCTCTCTTTCTCTCTTTCTCTCTTTCTCTCTTTCTCTCTTTCTCTCTTTCTCTCTTTCTCTCTTTCTCTCTTTCTCTCTTTCTCTCTTTCTCTCTTTCTCTCTTTCTCTCTTTCTCTCTTTCTCTCTTTCTCTCTTTCTCTCTTTCTCTCTTTCTCTCTTTCTCTCTTTCTCTCTTTCTCTCTTTCTCTCTTTCTCTCTTTCTCTCTTTCTCTCTTTCTCTCTTTCTCTCTTTCTCTCTTTCTCTCTTTCTCTCTTTCTCTCTTTCTCTCTTTCTCTCTTTCTCTCTTTCTCTCTTTCTCTCTTTCTCTCTTTCTCTCTTTCTCTCTTTCTCTCTTTCTCTCTTTCTCTCTTTCTCTCTTTCTCTCTTTCTCTCTTTCTCTCTTTCTCTCTTTCTCTCTTTCTCTCTTTCTCTCTTTCTCTCTTTCTCTCTTTCTCTCTTTCTCTCTTTCTCTCTTTCTCTCTTTCTCTCTTTCTCTCTTTCTCTCTTTCTCTCTTTCTCTCTTTCTCTCTTTCTCTCTTTCTCTCTTTCTCTCTTTCTCTCTTTCTCTCTTTCTCTCTTTCTCTCTTTCTCTCTTTCTCTCTTTCTCTCTTTCTCTCTTTCTCTCTTTCTCTCTTTCTCTCTTTCTCTCTTTCTCTCTTTCTCTCTTTCTCTCTTTCTCTCTTTCTCTCTTTCTCTCTTTCTCTCTTTCTCTCTTTCTCTCTTTCTCTCTTTCTCTCTTTCTCTCTTTCTCTCTTTCTCTCTTTCTCTCTTTCTCTCTTTCTCTCTTTCTCTCTTTCTCTCTTTCTCTCTTTCTCTCTTTCTCTCTTTCTCTCTTTCTCTCTTTCTCTCTTTCTCTCTTTCTCTCTTTCTCTCTTTCTCTCTTTCTCTCTTTCTCTCTTTCTCTCTTTCTCTCTTTCTCTCTTTCTCTCTTTCTCTCTTTCTCTCTTTCTCTCTTTCTCTCTTTCTCTCTTTCTCTCTTCTCTCTTCTCTCTCTCTCTCTCTCTCTCTCTCTCTCTCTCTCTCTCTCTCTCTTTCTCTCTTTCTCTCTTTCTCTCTCTCTCTCGCAGCCTCACGCAAACATACTTCCTTTCTCCCATTCTCCCTCTCTCCCTCACCCTCACCTAACACAACCTTCCCCTCACTCGTTCCCCACCTCCCCTCCCTTCCCTTCTCTTCCTCCCCCCTTCCCCTCTCTTCCCCCCCTCTTCCTCACCTGTCCAGCGGCTCATAGAGAACGATGTCCCCGCTCTCCGGGCTGACCATGAACTTGGAGGCGGAGGCGACGTGGGCCGTGTTGACGAGCGTGAAGGTGAGGTGCTTGTCGGAGTCGGGGTCGGAGGCGGTGAGGGTGGCGATGGTGGTGCCCGGGGAGGTGTTCTCGCCCACCTCCACCTCGTACGTGGGCTCCGAAAACGCCGGCCGGTTGTCGTTCACGTCCAGCACGGAGACGATCACCTGTGGGGGAGGACGGAATGGATGAATGATGAGAGAGAGAAAAAAAAAATATTAATTAATTCGCGTGAAAAAAAGTATATCAATTCACATAAGGAAAAAATGGTATTTTAATTCGCATAAGGAAAAAATGGTATATTAATTCGCATAAGAAAAAATGGTATATTAATTCGCATAAGAAAAAATGGTATATCAATTCGCATAAGAAAAAATGGTATATTAATTCACATAAGGAAAAAATGGTATATTAATTCGTATAAGAAAAAAAAAGGTATATTAATCCGCATAAGAAAAAAATGGTATATTAAATCGCGTCATCGAGAGCTTCTAAAAGTACAGAACAAAGAACAAACCGATGTTCTACGACACGAGAAAACTACATGTACTATCAAACACCCTATATCAATAAAACATTAATCATCAACTAACAAAAAAAAGAAAATAAAACAAGACAGCACAGGTACATCACAAAACAAGAACATCCAGCCAAACCTACCTGGCTGGTGACAGTGTAAACGCCGTCCGTGACTCCAATAGTGAGGTTGTACAGGGATTTCTTCTCAGCATCCAACTTTCCCGCCAACATGATGCTTCCCGTGTCCCTCCCGATGGCGAACTTGTACTCGTCGTCACCAGCTGCGGTTTGGAGGGCGGAGGGCACGGTGGGGGGGCGAGGGAGGGGCACCGAGAGATAGAGGGAGGGGTGAGGAGGGATAGAAGGAGGGGTGAGGAGGGAGCGAGGGAGGGGTGAGGAGGGGGGGGCGAGGGAGGGGCACCGTGAGATAGAGGGAGGGGTGAGGAGGGATAGAAGGAGGGGTGAGGAGGGATAGAAGGAGGGGTGAGGAGGAGAGGAGGGAGCGAGGGAGGGGTGAGGAGGGGGGGGGGCGAGGGAGGGGGGAGGAGGGAGCGAGGGAGGGGTGAGGAGGGGGGGGGCGAGGGAGGGGGGAGGAGGGAGCGAGGAGGGTGGGCGTGGGAGGGTGATATGAGGGGGGGGGGGCGAGAGGAGGGGTAAGGGATAAGAAAAATAAATTAAAGACACCATATGAATACATGGAATGCGGCGTGGGGATCGCATTAATATGACACATCTTTGTATATATATTATGTAAAGAAAAATACGAAAATAAGTGAAATTCAAGAGAAAAAAAGCCACAAAAAAATCACCTAAAAAAACAATATAAAATATCCTTAAAGAAAACAGAAAACACAATATACATTGGCTAGAAATTATAAAAAAACGGAGGAAAAAGAAGAAGAGAGAAAAATGAGAAGAAGAAGAAGTAGAAGAAGAAGAAAAAGATGATGATGAAAGAAAAGACCAACATCAACAACAGGAACAAGAAGAACCAGAAGAAGCATACAAAGAAGAAAGAAAAAAAAAGAAAAAAGAAAAAAACAAGAAAAGAAAAAAGTAGACGAGAAAAAACAATAAACAGAAAAAAATGAAAAGAAAAGATAGAAAGAAGACGAGAAAAACAAGAAAACAACGAACAAGAAAAAGAAAAAAAGACGAAACAGAAAACCCAAAAAAACGCAAGACCATACCCCTCACCACCCACCTATAATATCGAACCAAACGCGGTCACCGTCCTCGTCTCGGGCGTTGATGAGGGTCACGTGCTGGCCGATGGGGTCACTCTCGAGCACCGTGACCCGCGCCTCCGCCTCCTCCAGGATCGACGGCGGGTTCTTCGAGTCCTCAGGCACCGGCACCACGTCGATCACCACCAGGCAGGAGCTGGCGTTTCGAGGACGACCGTTGTCTATGGCCTGGACCTGTAGGAGGACGGAAAGGGACGGGAAGGGAGGAAGAAGGAGAAGGGAAAGGGGAGAAGGAGGGAGAGGGAAGAGGGAGAAGGGAAGAGGGAATGTGTTAGATTAATAGTGATGGTAACAGCAGGGAAAATTTTGATTTTCAGCGTGGTGGTGATAATGATGATAACAGTAATGGTAATAATGGGGTCAATCCTGACGAAATGACCCGCGAAAACGTATTCACAAGATTAAACCTAAAACACACGACGAAAAACAAAAAACAAAAAAAACGAAACACAAGTCTCCACGACGCCCAACCGCTGCGTCAGGGACTCACCGTGAACTCATAGTCCTCCTCAGGGTTGAGTCCGGCCTTGGCAGAGATGATGCCCGTCTTGTTGTGGATCTTGAACGTCCCGAGCCACTGGTCGCCCTCGATGCTGTAGGTGATGTCGCCGTTGTCGTCCTCGTCCTCATCCACGGCCACCACCTGCAGGTACGACCACCGGAGGGGTGACGGGGGTGAGTGCCACTCGCTCTCTCTCTTTCTCTTTCTCTCTCTCTCTTTCTCTCTCTCTACCTCTCTCTCTCTCTCTCTCTCTCTCTCTCTCTCTCTCTCTCTCTCTCTCTCTCTCTCTCTCTCTCTCTCTCTCTCTCTCTCTCTCTCTCTCTCTCTCTTTCTGCCACTCATTTTTTTGTTGCTGCTTCTACACGAAGGAACTTCTTAATTAACTTTTAGGAATGACACGAGCAGAAATGCTGCATTCTCCGTGCTGCAAAGACCAACAGGTTCGGCTGTGAACGTGTTCGTCTCGGGCGCTGGCAAGGGGACACCTCGGCACTTACATGAAGGAATTTTGAAAAAAAAATAAAAAAATAAATAAAAATAAAAAATAAAATGGAGATCCGTCATGTGAATCATCCGTTGGGGTTAAAGAAAAATATGATTAAGTCCAATTCTCAACAAGCAAGAGATCGCATGGTGTGAACGCAACATCTGTCAAAAAAGCAAGAAAGACACACAAAAAAATAAGCTACAACACTCTAAAATCTAAAAATCTAATATCTAAATCAACGTACAAATAAGCATTCTACTTTCCCCGCTTCCCTCCATATGGAGACAAAATACAACACAGATACACCCATAAAAAGATAAAATTAAGGGAAATCCTCTAAATATTTACAACAGGGGCACTAGAGAGAGAAAAGAATAAAATAAAATAAGAAGCAGAAATGAACCCTTTTCCATGAGATAAAAAAAAATGAGAGATGAAGCCACTACGCTACCTACAACGTAAACCTTCCCTGTAAAACCTCCTTACCCTACAAATAGGCACAAACTCCCGCTCCACCTCCTCCTCCACCATCTGCTGGTCCTCCAAAGTCTCCACATGGGGAATGGGAGTCCAAAGGCCCTTCAAGGAGTAGGGCATCGCTCCGGATCCCTCCTCTTCTTCCTCCTCCTCCTCCTCCTTTCCTTTCTCTCTCCCCCTTCCGCCCAAAGACGCCCACGCCCTCGCATTCTCGTATGGGAGGAAGTAGTCAGCATCGAGCGAGGAGGCGTTCTACACGACGATGGGCCGGGGGGGTGGGGGGGTGGGGGTTAGAGGAGCAAGGTTAGCGCGATTAGTCGGCTATAGTATGGGTTAAGAAGCGGAGAGTAAAACAGAGGACCATAAACGGTGTTGTTGTTGTTGTTGTGTTTGTGAATGGCAGCTGAAGGCCAAGAAGCGCACGTGACAGTCCCTTTCCATTCCAGGGATTTTGGCTGTCAAGTGGCTACATTGGACTCGTCTGGACATACACAAATGCCAAGTGTCAAGAGAATGAATCATTACAATATAGGTAGAGGGCTGCTTGCAACTACAAGTAATACAGAAGTGTTCTATGATTACATTTCTATGTAAAAAAAAGTTAAATACATTATTGAAATTATCTTATCCATTTAAAATATAAATAGCTTCTTGAAACAATTAGAATGTAAAAAAAAATGAAGAAAAGTGCATCAAACAAAATTGAAAATCAAAGTTTATATTCATAGATTTTAAAGAACATCATCAAATCAAAAAATTTAAACATCTAACATTATCCGTTTTTTTTTTTTTTTAATTCGTTCTCGTCAAAATGCAGACATCCACTGGTTAACCGTCACAACATGATCATTGTAATTTCTCATTCTCTTCTAGCCTCGCACAAGAGTATCAATATTTACATCATTCTCAGACACGTTTCAGACTCGAATGCGACCACGTGGGAGGGAGAGAGGGAGGGAGGGAGGGAGGGGGTGGGGTGGAGGTGGGGAGGGAGAGAGGAAGAGGGTTGAGGTGGGAAGGGAGGGCGGGGGTGGGGTGGGAGGGAGGTGTGGTTGAGGTGGGGAGGGAGGGGGTGGGATGGAGGTGGGGAGTGAAGGAGGGAGGGAGAGATGGAGGTGGGGAGGGAGGGAGGAAGGAAGAGGTGGAAGGAAGGGGAAGCGTGAAGGGAGGAGGTAGTGAGTTAAAAAGGGTGGCGAGAGGAAGGAGGAGTACGAGGGGAGATGACGGTGGGTGGAAGAGGAGGAAACGAAAGTAAAGGCAGGAGGTAAGGAAATAAAGGCAAGAAGTCTATGGAGAGAGAAGAAAGGGGAGAGGAGAGGAGAAAGAAAGGCGAGAGAAGGAGAGGGTAAAAAAAAGGAAGGGGAATAGGAGTGAGAGAAAACACGGAAAGCTGGTGAAAGGAGGACGAAGAAGAAGAAGAAGAAAAAAAAATCAGAAGCAGAAAAAGAAAGAAAAGATCGAAGAAAAAAGGAAACGGGGGGTAAGGGAGATAGGAGGTAGGGGAAGGTAGGGGGGGTAGGGGTAGGGGTATAACTACTAGTTGCAGCCTCATCCCGCCACACTTTAAAAACCCTCGTGCAATATCACTGTTTTGTAGAACAACCAATCTCAATGAAAGGACACTCAGGCGGGGCACCTTCTACGCCCTCCATTTACCTAATGCAACTTTTATGTAATGTATGACCTCTCCTTTATGTTTCCCCCTGTAGCTCAGAGCCACTAATGGAGAAAAATAAATCCCCGGTAAACAGCACACAATACGAAACGGGGGGAAAGCGGAAGAAGGAAAGGAGGAAGGCAAAGAAAAGGTAAGCTAAAGGCACGAAGGGGTGGCGAAAGGAGACAGAAAAAAAAGGTAAAGAAGGTAAAAAGATGAAAGGGAGACAGTTGGGGAAGGGGAGGAGGGGAAGGGGAGGTGGGGGAGGGGGGAAGGGAGGGAGAAGGACTTAAGAAAAAAAAAAAATTCCCCCCACTTAATTTTCGCATTCAGAGTCTGAGACATATCTTTTATGAGAATACACAAGAACAAACTGCCTTTCTTTAAAATCAGAGACAGTGATGGCTTTTAAAAAATATATATAGGCACGTATTCCGTCACTTGAACACGTGTTTCATGCTAAGCTCCGCCATCTTGTTTAACAGTTAATTAGATTTTTGCTTTAACATTACCAACAAAAACAAATACAGGCAAGGAAAAAAAAAACAGAACAAAAACAATTTCTCTAACAATGGCAGACTGTAGGTCATACGTACACACCTGACATATGGAAACAAAATACAATAGCAAAAAAATTTACCAGCACCCCACATAGTCTCGTCACTTCAGACAAATTACTTCTACAGCAAGACAAGAATAAACAGCTAAGTGGTAATCAGTACTTCAACTTCACCCTTTAATCAGATCGATACCCAGTTCTCCCGAATGAGTTTCATCAACATTTAACAAATTACAATAGTTGGAACTACTTTGGAGGGCGGATGTTAGTGGAAAGTTAAGAGACAGTTTTCTGTACACAATACACAAACAAATTTGGTTAAATCTACGACAATTGAGGGTACAATGTTATCGGATTTCCATTTCACGTTCCATTTGTTATTACTGTTTATTTTTATGTTATTTCAACATTCCCGAGAACAGCCCAGGCTAGTAAAACGGTGTTAGTGTTAGAACAAGAGCGCTGGAATGGCGCATTTACATTCTGTTTATATTATGTGATTATCAGGCAAGGTGATGATGAAGACGAATGAATAAATAAAAGGAGGAAGTGTTGTTTTCGATGACATAAAATGGAGGAAGTAAGAATTTCTCCATAAAAAAGAATAGGAAAAAAAATGATAATGACCATGACATGAATGAAAGGCGAATCGACGCCGACGGATCGGCGAGCGACGGCGCCGACGGCCGTGCGCGCGCCCTGCCCCAACTTACCCTTCCGATGGGCATGTCCTCGACGTACTCCTTGTCCTTGGGCGGCCGCGGCAGGATGGGCACCGAGAACTTGTACAGGCTCTCGAGGAAGGCCGGGGCGTGGTCGTTCTCGTCCAGGACGTTGACGGCGACGTAGGCGACGGAGGAGAGGGACGTCGCAGGGTCCTCGCCGTCGCGGATCGTCACCTCCAGCAAGTGCTCGGCGTGCTGCTCGCGGTCCAGCTGCCGCCCCGTCGTCCGGATCTCGC